CCCCTCGGGGAATCTCCCAGCGCCTCGCACGCGTCCTCTGCCGCCCCGAGGGAGAAGGTGCAGCCTGGCCGGAGAAAGTGGGCGGCTTGGGCTGACCGCTGGTAACCTACAGCGCCTCCGTTTGGTCAGGAGGACCGACTGCATCAGCTGGATTGCAATACCTGTTGAGCGTCTGAGCTTACCAAAAACTGACCCTCGGTTGAGGAGAAGGGTGGGCGTAAGAACCGTGAATAGGAGCTTCATGATCCTCTTTGTTCTGGATGAGCGGGAAGCGGAGATGAGACCCTAATGCAGTCTCCTGTACAGCACCGTGGGCTGGGGATTTTCTCCCTATTACCCTGGGAGATGGCTCTGGAGGCTAAGTCTGTATTCTCTGTCTTCACTTCTGAGGTATTCTCATCTGTTTGCATGGTTTTCATGACCATTGATGATTAAAAAATTTATATTCCCAGGTTCCAACCATTCCTTGAACTTTAGACTTGTATATTCAAATGTGTGCCCTTGGCATTTCTATTTAGGTGTCAAATTAGCATTTCAGACTTAACCAACACATGCAAAAGTAAATTCCTAAACACTTTCGTAGTTGCACTTTTGTTCAGTTTGCTCATCTCCATCTTTCCAGTGCATGCTTGGGTCAGCTGTGACTCCTTCCTCTCATACTCTTCATCCGGATTCTCGCCTGGCTTTACAGGCAAACTATATGTAGAATCCACCACCTCTCTCCGCTTCCGTATTACCACGGTGGATTGAGTCACGATTATCTGTAGCCTGCATTATGGTGATAGCTGACTAACTGGGCCATCTGCTTCCGTACTGCTTCCTCTTTAACCCCTCAGAGTTGTTTTTCAACGCAATGAAAATGATCTTTTAACAAGTCAAATCAAATCATATAGCTGTTCTGCTCAAACTGTTCCAATTGAGTTTTTTTTCTGGCAATAATGGACCAGTCCATTTGGTACCAGCACTGTCACTAACATTAGAAAAGCAAGCAAAATTAAATACTAAATGTTAAAAAGCTCTTTGCTTGAAGGCGTCAGGGAACTTCAAAAGCAGCAAGGATTTGGATGACTACAGTCCCCAAAGGGCAGTCCGGGAAGGGTTTCCCACAGATTAGTTGGTGATTCCATAGCAAGAGCTGAACAGTTGACAAAGTAAGCAGAGCCTTCAGGATCTCATGAGGCTGGAGAGAGAGACTGGAGTTTAAGATCCATTAAAGAAAAGGTGCTGGTAAACCCCCTGGGCTACCCAGGACTCTGAGGGGCTATATCCAGTTAAAGGGAAATAGAGTAGCCCTTGCAAGGACTGCCAGCCACTCTGGAAAGGAGCAGTACATTTCCTTTGGAGGAAATATAAAATACTGTACACTATTTTATACTGTCTGTACAGTATTTTATAGTGTTGCACTCAATTTTAAAATGGACACAAAAGAATTGTCTTTAAAACTAAGAAAGAGAAAAAGAAACACTGGCAATCCACTGATTAAGGTTTAAAGATAGTGTTAAAAGCAGTTTTGTTTAATGTCTTTAAGAAATGAAATGACAAGTTGGAAAGTTTCAGTGAGAACTGGAAACTCCAAAGAAGAATAACTTTTAGAACTTGAACTAAAACACACACAAAGTAAAATCAGCATGCTATAATGAGTTTAATAACTGGTTCCACACAATTTCAGCATGAATTAGTGAACCTAGCAAGTCAAGCAAAATATACACAATTAAACAACAGAGATTAAAGGATTTAAAGCTCAGAAAAGAGAGAAAAACACATGTACTGTGTTGTAAAACATTCTAACACATGTAATCAGAATATCAGAAGAGGAGAAAGAATAAATGAAATGCAATATTTGAATAGATGGCTAGGAAAATTTTCAAAATGAATGAAGAACTCAGAGTTAAGAAACATGAATACCAAGCAGGATTTCTAACAAAGAAAGCCATAGTTATGCAGGTCATAGTAAGCTACTAAGAATCAAAGAGAATAAATTTAAATAGGCATAGAGAGCAAAGATATAAACTGCAAAAGAGCAATGATAAAATTAAGACTATTTTCTAAAAAAAAAAGAAACAGTGGCAGCCCAAACACCTTCAAATGTGTTTAAAATACTCCTAGAGATATATGTTGCCAATCTAACTTATATGCCAGTAAAAATATTCTTAGAACTCAGACATTTTTATAGTAAAGAAATACTAAGATCATCACTGGACCCATATTGAAAGAAATTCCAAAAAGAGTTCTTTCGGCAGATGGAAGATAATCCAAAATGAAATCCTACATATGTCTACAGGAATGAAGAAAATACCAAGGGTTGCTGGGCGTGATGGTGCATGCCTGTAATCCCAGCACTTGGGAGGCTGAGGCAGAAGGATCACCGTGAGTTCAAGGCCAGTCTGGGCTACATAAGCAAGTTCAAAGCCAGCCTGCACTATATAAGGAGATCTTGTCTCAAAAAAAATACCGAGGGTTAATCTATGACTAGATATAGACAGATACAAACTGGATAAAATTTTTAAAAAAATGTCATGGGTTTTAAATATATGTAATGCACAAAAAGTAGGGGAAAGTAAGTGAAATTAAAACATTCTAAAGTTCTCCCATAGTTGAGGGATTGACAAAAGTACTTAGCTTTAATAAATCAAGAATGCATATTATAACTCACAGAATAATAACTGAAATAATAGAAAAATGAGTAAGTTAATAGAGTAATAAAACATATTAATAAAAATATTTAATCCAATAGAAGCAAGAAAAGAAAAAGAAAAGGAACATAGTAAAAGAGTAGACATGAAAAATACAAATAGATAGAATCTTTGTTCAGCCACGTTAAAAGGTAAAGGTTTTACATGAGATAAATAATGTCAGGGAGGGAGCATGGTGGCACATGCCTATCACGTTAGCTACTTGAGAGTCTCAGGCAGTAATATCCCAAGTTCGAATCCAGTCTGGACAACTTAGACCCTCTCTCCAAACTAACAAACAAAAAAAAAACAAATGAACAAAAGGGCTGGAATGTAGTTCAGTGCTATAGAGCTTCTATGTGTGAGGCCCTCCGTTAATCTCCTGAGCCTAAAAAATAAAACCAAAATCAAAATCAAAACAACTATTCTGTTGTTCCTAAGACACACTTTTAATAGAAGGCAACACGATGGAAAGAATTCTGCTATTTTAATGGTACCAAACTGAAAGCCCATAAATCTATCCAAATATTAAACAAGGTAGGTTTTTAAGACACAAAGTATTATCAGAGATATGAAAAACTTTTTTTTTGCTTTTTTGGTTTTGAGGTGTGTGTATGTGTGTGCTGTGGACTGAAAAAAATTTTATGATTTTTTTGATAAAATAATAATAAAAAGACCAATCCATCAGAAAGTTTCAACAGTTTTCAATTTGTATGGTCTTAAAAATGTAGCATAGAAATATACAAACCAATATGGCAAGACTAAAAAGAGAAATAAACAAACCCACAATCATGACCTGGGATTTTTTAACACAATGTCTTTATGTGTTAAACAAGGACAAGAAGACAAAAAAAGGGTACAGATGTTTTAAACAATATAATTGATAAATTGGCATGATTGATAGGCTAAGTGTGATCAAAATATACAGTGAATTTTTAATTTTTAAAAAATTTATTACAGCAAGAAACGCACTACCGGAAGTCCCCCTTAAAATTCTCCTTCTTATTTTGAACACCTGTATCCCATCTTTCTTCCTGTTTTCTGAAGCAGTTCTGGAAGTCCTTTTTCTTGAGGACTTGCACTGTTGTGGCTGCCTCCATGTCTTGAATAGATTCAAAAAGTTTACCTTTCATGGTCATTTTGATTCTGGGAAAGAGCCAGAAGTTATGCAGTACCAGATCAGGTGAAATAGGTGGATGAGGACACACTGTGATGTTTTTATGATCCTGCCTTTCCATTGGGTGGCATTTGGCATTTATCGTATATTTTATCACACCTCAGAATAATTTTGAATAACAATAATTTTGAAAGTGTTGAAATGCACAAGAAACCAAAAGAGGCCTCAAAATGATTTAAATCATTAAATATTTCAAAAGAATATAAAATCTAAAAGAAATAACAATTAGCTAATTTCTGAAAGAAGTAATATCTACAAAACAGATCAGTGGACTACTTAATGATTCAAAATTCTTGCATATGAAAACATGTTATATGCAGAAAAGACAAGCTGGTAAAATATTTGCAAAATATAGTTTTGCATAGCAGTCAAAAATCATACCATAAATAAGGAATATATTATAAGAGGTACAGCAAAACTGTATTAGAAAGAGGTAAAAGAAAACAAAAGATAATTTTTGAAAAGTTAGATATAATAAATACATATAAAGTATTCAAAGTCATCAACAACCAAAGAAATATAAATTAATCAATGGGGGCCTTTCTTTCTTTCTTTCTTTCTTTCTTTCTTTCTTTCTTTCTTTCTTTCTTATTTTCCTTCTTTCTCTTTGTTTTTCTTCTTTTGGTGGTACTGGGGATAGTATCCAGGGGTGCCCCTAATACAGAGCTGCATCCCTAACCCTTTTAATTTTTATTTATTTATTTATTTATCTGTGTATTATTTATTTATTGAGTCAGTGTTTTGCTAAATTGTCCAGGCTGGACTTCACCTTTTGATCCTCGTGCCTCAGCCTCTCAAACAGCTGATTACAGGCATATACCATCACACAGTGCTTAGTGGGTTCCATTTTTGCCAGTAAAACAGGCAAAAGTTTTTAGCGTAATGCGATGCCTAATGTAAATGATTATGGAGGGAATATTAGAAGGCGAAAAGCGCAAGTTCTTTATGTTTTCTTCTTTTGTTTTGATACAGAGTTTTCTGTACTTCCCTGAAAACCTCGGTCTCATCATCTTTAGGCACTCTCCCTGACTCTAGCAGTTTACCTGACCAAAACTGCTTCCATCTTAAATGGTGTTTATCTTTATGAAATTGAGTGTATTAGAGTCCTCTTCTCCTAGTTAAACAGAACAGGGACCACTTATTTTTGTACCCTATGCGTGTATGTGACACTTCATACATATTGATTAATAAAGGTGATCAAATTGAACACGAAGAACTCAGTTCCCGTCTGGCAGGAAGCGAACGGTTAAATGAAGTATGATACATATTCACCTTATAGGTTATGATGCAGCAGTTTTACAGCGTTTTAGGAACACTGGGTTATAAGTATTTGTTTTGCAATGATAACTATAAAAAAGAATGATTAAAAATAATGTCTATTTTGCATTATAGTTTTTAAAGTGCACCTTAAAAAGGTGAGGGAGTTAGTAGTCTAACAATGCTTCTCTCTGAGAGAAGTGACTTTTACTGAATAATTTTCTATACTTTCTGAATGTTTTTAGAGGATTATATATCACTTTTATAAATGAATAATGTAGAAAATTTTTTTTTTATTTTTTTAGTACTGGGAATCGAACTCGAGACCTTGTGCTTGCCAGGCAGGCACTTGTGGCACTGAGCTATATTCCCAGCCCAATGTAGAAAATTTTAAAAGTTTTTTTTTTAATATAAATACTGTATTTTCATATAAATACATCTAAGCACAGAGTATGG